TTTAAAGTATGATTGAAACTTAAATTGCAACTTTCAAAGTATCTTCATTTTTCACTTTAGATGATAAGAGCATACTTCAGGCCTCTCATTCCAGAGTTTGGATGATCTCTCAGTCTACTATAGCATAAAGGTTCAACCCTCAGCAGGGCTCTCCAACCTGTCGGCAATGAGGGGATTGTAAACGAGCCACGGAAATGGCCGGTGAGTGTGCATGCACATCCTCACTTGTGTGAACAGTGGGCAAATGCATTCTCATGTGCTGCATGCTCACATGCTGCATTTACGTGAGCAGCAAGCTTGTGTGCATGCTGCTCGCGCAAATGGAGCTGCATGGATGCGCACACTTGCTGGCTGTTCATGTGGAAACACCCCCCCACCCCCCCCGGCTGGTCTGCAAAGCTGGAAACATTGGGGAATTCTTGTCTACAGAATCAATTATGTTGTCCCCTTCCCATATTATTACGGCATTCTTCCTTGAAACTGAGCAGCAACAGCTATCCTATAGAGAAAAGACATCTGAATTTTCAGTTTTAAGTGAGGACTAGGGATAACATTGAAGAAAAGCAAATAATCCAATTTTATTTGCCAAAGTAAGCTGTCCCTTATTCAGAGTGATTATTGTATCTACCAGAAAGACAACCCTAAATTTAATACTTCATCAGCAGCATCCTTCAAACAACACAGAAAGGAAGAAATATATAATACAGATAAAAAATTTCCCACCTTATCAACCTACAATTACCAACTTCTGTAGTACCCCCTCCCCCCGTGCAAATATGTGAGTGTTGTACTTCTATATGAATGTTATGTGCTTGAAACTAGAACTTTGATAGCTATGGATTAAAATTATTAATTGCCTTTAAAATAAGCCACCACGTATAACATTATTTCCCTTATGTGCATACAGTGATCATTCTCTCTTACTCACAGAAGCAAAGAGACTCTTCCCTCCTTCCAGAAGAAAACCAGTAAAATATAAGGAAAAAACAGCATGTTGAGATGGGGAAAGGGAAGGGATAGTTGCACTAGAAGGGAAATGAAGAGAAAGTGATGAACCAAACTGATGAGGTGAGAGAAAGAGGCAACTAAACAGGGAAAAAAATACAGGAGAGAAAAGGAATGAGGCCGGGCCCAGCCATTTCCATTTTTGAAGCAATGTCTCCAACTATTTGCATCTCCCACCCATTCAATCATTGTCAGCAGTATCTACTATTCTCAATGTCTATGGAGAGTCTCAGTCAGGTCTTGGTTGTCCCAATTGTAATCCCAAAGGTCCTTTTTCAAAAGGAAACTGGACTTCTGTTTTGCCTTGAAGAAGTTTTGCTTCACATCCTAGAAGCTTCTTCATTTCAGAACTGAAGAAGCTTCTTGGATGAGAAGCAAAACTTCTTCAAGGAAAAACGAAAGTCCAGTTTCCTTTTGAAAAAGGACCTTGGGGATTACAATTCTCAGTGAACACAATCTCTCCATTCATGTAATCATGGGAAGGGGTAAATATGGCAATTAGACTTAAAATATTTAGCATAAGCTTAAAGGCTTTTTGAGATTTAAGAAGTAGTGCTCAATATTTATTTCAATATGTACAGATAGTTCCTAGACTTACAACAGTTCATTTACTGACCGTTCAAAGTTACAACGGCACCGAAAAAAGTAACTTATGACCGTTTTTCAGTTACAGCCTTTGAAGCATCCCCATGATCATGTGATCAAAATTCAGGTTCAATATTTATGACTGTTGCTATGTCCCAAGGTCATGCAATTATCTTTTGCGACCTTCAGATAAGCAAAGAGAGAAGCAAAGTTAATGGATTCACTTAAGAACCGGGTTACTAACTTATCAGCTGCACTGACTTACTTAGCAACTGATTCAAGAAAGGTCGTAAAGTAGAGCAACAACAACAGAAACATTGGGCTTAATTGTGTTCGCAAGTCGAGGACTACCTGTAAAAGGTTTACTATACTGGTAGTTCTCAACTTGCAACCACAATTGCTCAACATTTCTGTTGCTTAGCAGGACAGTTGTTAAGAAAGATGACCTTTCTTGCCACAGTTGTTAACTCAATCACTGCAGTTATTAAGTGAGATTCATTGAGAAAATCTGGCTTCCCCATGGACTTTGCCTGTCAGAAGCCATCTGGGATGGTTACAATGGTGATCACACGACTCCAGGACAGCGCATTCAGTTGCCAGATGGCTGAATTTTGATCACATGACCCTGGGCAGGTGGCAACGGTTGCAAGTGGGAAACCTGGTAATAAGCCACTTTTTTCAGTGCCCTTGTGGCTTCAAATGATCACTAAATGGAATGGTTATAAATCGAGGACTACCGATACATGCATAATGTGCATTGTATGTATTAAGTAAAGCAAAAGATTAAGCAATCATTAAGCATTTGTTATTTTTCATGATTTCTAAAGAGTGACTCTTACCTGATCGGCACCAGTAAGATGTATAAAACTTTCAAGAATTGATGAACTCAATCTGTCCATTACATCTATGGCCAACTCATCGTCACCCTAAGAACACAAATAGCCGATACATGACAGAGTCAAGGCAGCCTTCACATAAACACAGACACACATAACAATTTGCTTACCTTAGTCATGTCTAAAACGGTGAAGAGAGCTCTTATTTCCTTAAGGCAACTGACAGCTAGTCTTCTAGTGGCAGATCTTGTGCTACAAAGGATAACCAACGCAAAGCCTTCAACCACATGGAACACATTAGAATAAGGAGCCCTTTCCAGGGAAAGGGTAGGAGCAGATCCATTAGTGACGCCACGCTAAAAGGGGAAAAATAGAAATGACTAAAATCAATGGGATTTATTCCTTTGTATTTCCACTTTCCAAATACATAGGACCACATAAAAACTCCATGGGCACTTTTACCTCCACGCAAACAAATGGGACAATATTTTCATCTTGCTGTCCAACGTGGTAATAGTCAGGCACTTACAAGAATATGACCAATACTTGCACAGCTCAACCATCCACTTGTTATCTAATATAATGCCCACATTCGTGGGGATTCATTACACTCAATTAAAACACATCAATTCAAATAGTATAATTGTACCTGAGTTTCTTGGTTCTTGTTTTGTATTTGGACTGCTTGCTTCCACTGACTGATTAGCTGCACCAACATCTTAACTGCATTGTCCAGGAGAGTAGGATGCAAATCAGTGACTTCACGGACAATAAAATAAACAAATCCTGACAAAACATCTTCCCGCCAATCTGGAAAATCCAGCATTAATGCTTGCAAAGTATTGAAAGCCAGTGCACGCAGTTCTTCATCCATGTGAATAGTCAGCCTGTTTACAATTTTAAAATTTTTAGAAACCAATGAAGAATTAGCATACCTGTTATAAAAACAAGTCAAGTCTGAAGATGAAAGGCAATATACAGGGTTGGGGTGGTAATTTGGCAATCCTTGCATTATGCAGATTTAGCAATGATGTCTGGTACAGATATAGAACTGCAGATGATTTAATTGTGATTAAATTACTTTTGAAACCAGAAGTAAATTGTAAGATCACTCTTTTCCCAAGTTCTTCTATTCCCTGGAATGCATTCCTGCCCTTTCACTATTAACTGTGAGTTAGGTTTTATTCGTCCTTATTACTTTAGAATGAAATACACTTTTTGTATCACTAGCACAGGTAACTCTTGATTTGTCTGCAGCCATCCCAGATGAGCAGTCTATCAGCTCTGAGCCATATCTCTGCCAAACAACAGATGAAGCTGTGACTTGTTTAAATCCAATTCAAATTCCAAGCTACAATTTGAAACTATAAAACTCTACATAGAGCAGACCGATATAAATGAAGGATCAAGTTCTCCTGTATGAACCTGCTCATTAATTGAGATCTACCTGAACCCAACATTTAGATTATTGGTGGGACTTTAATGAGTAGCCAATATTTGTAGATGAGTCTGGATCTGCCAACCTTTTACATTTTTAAGCAGCAAATGAGAATATTTTGTTTTCATCTTAGAATGTATATTTTAGATTGTAAGGTATTTTGCAGAATCGTTCCATAATTTCAAATTTTGATCTTTTGTAAATATCTGAGGAATCCCCAACCATTCAATTTTAATTTTCTAAGAATATTCTATTTTCTAATGATAATCTAGGGGATAAAAGGAACTCTTGGAGCTAATGATGATACTGAAATATTCCAGACTCCCATTTTTTAAAATTACAATAATTTTATCTTAAAAGTTTGACAAAGAGATAAAATAGAGATGTCATATGAAACAATGGGCTCTCTTGGGAACTTAACTGAAGACAACTGTTTACTCCAGTAAAAGCCTGGCTTGTCCTACCTTGCAAGCAGTTCAATAAGGTCATTTCTGCTCATTCCATCTGGAATCAGTCTTGGGATAGCAGCAATGCAAGTTCTAAACAAATCAATTTTTGGTTTTCTCTCACCCCTGTGAACGAGAATATTGCATTAACTTATTTCACAGTGTCTAGATTGATTGTACATCCACACTAGCGTAAGAATTTTATCTTCATTACAACTATTAAATTATATATTTTAACTGATCTACAGAAACATATAAACAATTATATATTTATAATGATTAAGCCCTGATGGAAACAATGGCTTATTACACTGGACAGTAAAAATAAAAGCCATGATGACCACAGGGGAAAAAAAAAAGCAATGTTTTTATTAGGTCAACTGGAAGTTTATGGAATGATTACAGATTTCTGCTGACCGTCAAAAACAGCTCTTGTACTCACCATATTTCATAAGAATTAGCATGCTAACTATGTACATAAACTGACATTGCAAAAATGAGGTGCTACTTAGAAAATAGGAATGTCTTCTGTATTATAGCAACAAAAGAATAGGCAAGAGATGTGAATATAATTTTCCCTCAGATTAACTTTCTTCTTCTTTCTTCTTCTTGTTTTCTATATGGCCTAAGAACCATTCCAGAGGAGAACCCAATCAAAATCAAGGCAAAGGTGACCACACTTGCCCAGGAAGACTGAGCACAACATAGGTAAATGTATCGTCTTGCTACCTCATTGCTAGTTTTTCAGTGGATTGCAGCTCCCAAAACACACTAGATGTTCCAGTGGCTAAAGTTTCTTCACAGGATCAGGTTCTGACTTCAGGCTCCTGCCAGATAGCAGATTGCATGCCTCAGCTGCTTGAAGGCTGTTTTGTTTTTTTAAGCTATAGATCCTCTATGGTATGAGGGGATCCATATCAACGGAATAAAGAGATCTAAAAGCTTTATGGAAGTCTGGTTTCATTGATAGATCATTCTCTAGTCAGTTTTAAACTAATGGGCAGATGATATACTAGTTAAATTGACTTATCGACTTAACAGATGAATCCAGATAGTTTCTGGAATATGCCTGGGTAATTCTCCACTATCTTTGCTAGCAAAATGTTATAATTGTTATTGTTATTATTATTTAATATTGTTATTTAGTAAATTTATTATGGCCACCCACCTGAAAGGACTCAGTGAGGCTTACAACATCCAAATGTTAAGTAATTAAAATGTAACAGCAAAACATGGCAATTTAGACTAAAAATATATATTTTTATTAAAGATATTGTTACAATTTTATTTAAAATTAAAATAACTGCACTGAATTAGTTGTACTTAATTTTCTACTTACGTGATCATATCTTCAGGTTCTTTATTGGTCATCTGTACACTTGTCATGCACATTGGCCTCCCAACTTCTTTGTCTAGATGCCTAAGTATGCTATCTAGTGCTTTCCTTACTTGAGGATAATATATCGACATTCCTGAAAGGATTAAGTTCAATATCATTTGTTTCTTAAATGATTCTTGAATCTTATTAAATACAAGTGAAATCCTGCATACATTACTTAAAATGAAATACCACTGCATTTTATTTCAAAATATTTTTAAAGTCATAAATTTAAGTCATGCATCTGATTACTGAAATATTGGTTAAACATTTTAAAATATTTATTCAATTTATTGACATTATTAGTATCCCTGAAAACCAGATTGAAGGAACAGAACTGTATTCCTTCCCAGTTTAAAAGTTGCAATGGGGGACAGGATGAGAAACAGGTTCTGCAGTTGGACTTAAATAGCATTTCAAGATTCAGGCAGAAGATCCAAAGTTCTACTTGTTATTACAAGTGCAATAAAATTGGGTACAAGGTAGTCAGCTACAAAGTCAGAAAAAAAAAGGAATAAACACACTTAATTCTTTCAAAAATCCTAATGAATTTCTATAACTGTAATTATAATTATGAAATCCACCACCTTCGGCTTGGCACCTCGCTGGCATCCCGCCATCAATGAACTGGAGGGGTGGGGAGTAAAAAATGGCCAATAAAAATGTATATCTCAATGTGGGAAATTGGGAGGAGGGAATGACAACTGAGGAAGAACACAGCGTTTTGGAATCTAGTCTGTGCCACAGCATCTTCAAAGGCTATTTACCCTGAGAGAGGAATTTCACCAGTCTAAACATCTCAGCACTTCCCAAAAATATGCCTGATTGGCTACACAGAGATGGACCATGTGGGGAGGGCTAGGGAAACCAAGAGGTTAGTTTTCTATTGATGCGTGGGAACTTCAGATTCCACCTGACTCTACTGCAATCAGCATCTTAGTGAAAGTACCTTTCGCTTCAATCAAATGAGGTTGAGAATTTCACTTCCCTAGGGGATCAGACTGGGGCAGGTCTGACAACAATTCTGAACTTAACAAATCCAAAGCTTGCCTTTCCTTTGTAACTTCCAGCTATAGTAGATGGGCTTGATGGTTGGATGGGTTCTCTCCCAAATATTAACCACTCTGAGGGTCAGAAAATAACGCAATATTTCATTGATATTCTGAGTTTCTGTATGAATGAGCATAATGTTAGGGAAAGCCTCCAGTCTTCCTCAAGCTTAGGTAAAAGGTAGGATTTCTCATAATGTTCAAAACTACTTATGCAAATGTTCTTTTGGTCTCAGAATATTAATAGACTGTTATTCCAAAACTTTACTCTTGATGTAATTTCAACTGAAATGAAATTTTAAAAAAGCATATGAAGAACAAGACCTATTTTCAGTACTACTTAGTGCTGCAAGAAAATATTGTGCTTTTTAAAACCATAAGCAATTAATATGGCTAATTTGATTTTTTAAAAAAATCATTGTTACTTTTCTATCATTCACTATTTTTAATAATAAACACACTTATTCCTTCCCCAAACCATAAATGACTCACCTATCACTTTTGCTTCTTCATCAGTCAGAGTTTTATTAAGAAAAATTTTCTTTACACGAAGAGTGTTTCCTGATGGAAGGACAACACCTGTAGTTGGCATAGGTGGTTCTCCATCCTTCTGCTGCAAACTGTCTGCTATCACAAGGAAGACTCTGAGACCTATATTCATTCTCTGCAAAAAAACAAACAGAGGGACATCCTTGAGGAACCAGCAAGGATTGCAACAGACCACAGGTTAATGGTGTAAAATGAGTAAGAGCAACCTCTCTCCATTCCATCTCCATCTACCATACCCGTATTTAGCAGAATGGAGTTTTTGTTTTATAAAATATCATTCTCCCAAGAAACACAAATCGCATCTCATTTAAATTAAGCACTAAATGTCTTTTTAAAATCTGCTTTAAATTAGACCAGTTCTTGTGTTTTCTATTGGCTAAATGGATGATAAAACACTTTAAAAAAAATTTTCTCAGACAGCCCTACAAGGAATCATTTATATATGATTAGCATAACCTAACCATGAATACCCAAGAGGAAGGAACATCATGGCATGATGTAATTTGCGCAACGATGACAGGCCACACTATATTATTATGGCTATGTTCCAGAAACGGTGAACATGAATTGATTTTGGCTTTGTACAACATTTAAACATCCGTTATGATTTGTAAACTACAATTTATGACTTATTGTGACATCTGAAGCCAGACAATTTTAGCTCATTCAGCAAGTATAGGAAAAATGTATGGCTTTGGAAATAATACACAAATCTATTGAAAAGTCAGATTTTTTCAGCACATGTGCTTTCTTCCTCCTTTTGCAGAAATAGGGATTCTGTTTCACTTCAGCCAATTCCAAATTTGTTATTGCATTAAAATTCAGGATTTAAAATAAACCTTATTCAATTGCTAAACACAAATATTACAAATGGCACATTGGTTAAGATGATATGTTGAATTGGTTCGCTATAACCAGAATACTTAGTTTGCCAAGCACAAGAAAGGATTGGCCGAAGAGAACAAAATCCTGACTTATTTCTTCTCATAACTGCAAAGACAGATAAGAGGAGAAAGGAGCTTATCCTTAAACTCAGTGTTTAACTCAGTTTTCCTTTTGCTCTAGTTTACCTTTGTGTGACCACAATCTCTAGCAAATAATCCAAAAATGATAAGACACCAGCATAGATAGTAAACAACTGAACTTCTTTTAATCTTTTTTTCAGAAGTGGTTTACCAGTGCCTACTTCCTAGACAGAAAGAGAGTGACTGGCCCAGAGTCACCTAGCTGGTTTTCTGTCTAAGATGAGATTAGAACTCAGAGTTTCCCAGTTTCTCGCCTGATGCCTTAGCCACCATGTCAAAGTAGCTGTAGTATTTCTAGAAGACCTTCATTACAAGTGTATGTGTTTATAATCCTATTAAAAACAAATGGCATACAATATTTTAGTTTCTCTTTATTACCTCTGGATTAATAGCGAAAGTTTTCGGGGATTTTCCCACACTGAGAAGATCAAAAATTATTTCTTTCATTGCAAAATCCAAACGTTCCTAGAAAAAAAATAACAACCACATAAAACTTTTTATACACCATAGAACATATGCTAAACCATTTTAGGAAAAATGCTAAACTTGACTTGCATGGTAACTGGCATAAATCTAATTAATTTTATTTATTTTCATTTAAGAAAAAAATTATCTTCCCAATTACTCTCATTTTTCCCATTTATTATGGTAATTTTAAGTTGTAAATTATTTAAATATATCTGTACTATCATATGTTGATCAAGGTCCCACTAAAATATGTGCCTAAATTTAAGATTATTTGAAGCTAAATCTTTCCTCCTGCATAGGCAGCTAGCAGCCAGCATCAGATATTTTATATCACTGGATTTCAAATTGTTGGAACTTTTTTTTATAAGAGGCTTGTTAGAAATTTACCAGTGTAGAAATCAGGAGTGGCATACAAACGTTTCTAAAAAGCAGCTGTATTTTTTCACTGATTTCTATCCTTTGTACTGTATGTGTTACTGTGTTCAAAAATGACTGAACATCAAGAGTGGCTGACAAGTTGATGTAAATAATAATCCAAAATCTTACGAGGGGATGTAACAACTTCAAAAATCAGAAAGTTACAGTATTTATTTCATATGGAAACCTAAACTGTAAGTCTTCTTTCTGTTCATTAACAGTATCTCTGAATAGTTTGGACAGATTCTTGTGTTTCAATTTAATATACATCACAGCTTTCTTAGAAGGTTAAAAATGTGTTAACTTAAAAGTCCTTGTAGAACAGTAAGGTTTAAACAGGGGAATGAGCAAATTTTGAAATATATCAGGCAATTATCACATTTGGGCTAAAGCTTTTATAAAGAGGATTTACCTGAGCAATGAACTGAATAATTTTTACAAATATGTTCAGAGGTGTGTCTCGAGGGACTACACTGCGAGAGCCTTTTGGAAAAAGTGCAGATACTATGCCCATCAGACGGCTGTACGGGAAAAGATTTAGAGGAGAACATTGAAACATCCCATTAGCAACTCTACCAAAGGGCAGCCACAGCATTTTTATCATTATCAACATTTTAGTATATTAAACCAAATGGCTTACCTCTGTGTTACAGTGTTGCTCTCACATTTTATTCTAATAACATAAACCCATAATAATCTATATAGCGATTCCAGTGCAACTCGAGACATTTTCGGGTCTTTATTCTGTTAAAAACATTTTTTTAAAAACCTGTTACTATTTCATATAAGTCTCACTGCAGATAATTATTTAGTAGTACATCTAAGAACCAAGGCATTCCTAAAATTATACTTCAAGTTCCTGTAATGGCAGAACACTGGGCACTCAAATTAATGTAAAGATATTGAAGTTAGGTAGAAATTGTTTCTCTGTATTTTTTCATAAACGTAAGAACCATAGCAATATTTGTAATTTAAGTGAAGTGTTGTTTCAGAATGTGCTTTGTAAAACCTGTCCCAGAAATAATCCAATGATTCCCATCTCATTGCCCTGTCTGTTGCAAAAAATGTCTTCCTCCACAAAATACTATGTAGTTAGAAAATCAAAGCTATTTCAGTCTTTATTTAAATTGAAAACACACTTTCTGTAGTTAATTCAGAGGAAATATTTAAAGAAAACGGTATCAAATAGTAGTAATAATAACACGGTTAATACTGTGACCAAAATCTCTTTTCTTCACAAATAATACTAATTTATAATACTCTTTTTGAGATGTTAAAACAAAAGCTGCTTGTTTTAGAGAGTCAAATAAAATATACAATGAAACAACAGAAAAACACAAAGCAAAGCAATTTCTTACTTTACTATGACAGCATATTAACTCACCTGAAGTGTTTCTATTTGTTTTCTGATACTGTTGTTAGATGGGATCTAAATAAAGCAATGCAAGACAGCAAAACATAACAAACATGAGAATGGGAAGCACATGCATGTTAGATGAAAAAATAAAAAGGACAAACAGAAAGCTGTTCACTGAGGCTCCATTCAACAGAAATACTTTGCCTGCAATACTGCATTCTAACTACTGCACCACCATGGTGGCTATAAGCATGATTTGGACACTACAATACTGTAATTCAGTGTCCTTAATATACAGTATGTTATTTATAATATCTCACAGTCACTGTTTAGAAACTACATGCAAATATAGTCTACATCTAAACTTGGATTATATCAATAAAGACATGAACAATTTTGAACATTTTAAAAATAGCTGCTGGAATTCCAACAAACTGATCAGTCTTAGAATTGTCTATAGACATTTTTTTATTATTTTCTTTTACAATTCTAAAAACATGCAAAAATAATATTTTCCTATTCTCCTTACAAAGAGCAACTCGGTTTTCTTTCTTTCTTGGTTTACAAATATTTAAAACTACTTGTATTTCCTTTGTGGCCTAAACATCTATTAAGCAAACTACAATTCTATGCAGTAAGGAATAAACCTTACTAAATTTAGTGGGATTAACTTCCAGTAGACATGCACAGGATTACACTGCTAATTCTCTTTAATCGAAAGGCGTATCCATACACCTACCAAGTTATTATCAATTCACTTAAACCCCATGATAAGAAATGGAATTATATATCAGGTGCAATCAAATCCAAGTATTATAAAATTATTTGTATTAGGATAAAGATCCTGAATATTCAGTAACTGGAACTTCTGAGTTGCTCAGCCACGTTTCCCTGCATTGATGTGAGAAGGCTGATAATTAAAAAGTTTTGTCAACTAGCATTCTGAGACGTATCTTAAAAATATGTTATTGGTTCTGATACTTTATTTATACAGGCTCTATATTAGTTTTAATCTGAGTTAACTTACTACTTAATGATATTTTAAAACAATTAAAACATGTTTAAAAGAAAATAGTAGAGAACTAAATTTACTTGGCAGATTTGTTAGTTACAGAATTTGAGCATAATTATGTTTCTATTGTAAAATTTCAGTATCTTGAATATAATGCATAAATTATTTTTTCCAAATCTGATTTTTTTAAAAAATCCTAATATGGCAGGTTTTTAATAAGCAATTTAAAATATTAAATAAAGAAATATTATGATAGCGTTAGTTCTTTCTGTTGAACAGAGCCACATCATAAAATGTTATGTTGTTAGGGAACAAAACTATATTAAAAATGTGATACATGCTGTATGACAACTAAAATCTCCAACAATGGAAGATTTTATTTGCCCATTGTCGGCAGTGTGATATTTCTAAATAAGAAAATTAAAAAGATACTTGCATACCCCTTTATATTTAATGCATAGCAACAGCAGGTAGACAGAGACAATAAAAGGGGAAGTGTTGCAAAAGAGTTGCCATTGTGTAAAGAAATACATACAACCTTGACAAAGTAAGGGAAAGAATGCTATCCTAACACATCCAACTGTTGAATTGTTGTTGTTACACAATTTAAAGGCTAGGCAGTTGTGAATTCAAGCATTAACAGCAATATTATCAATAAAGCACATATATTATTCAAACGTTACAGTGACAATAATTAAAAAGTGCTTTTAGATTTTCCATTAAAACTGATGTGACTCCAGACCTTACACAGATGGATGGCATCATAAACAAGGCTATGAGGCACATTATACATCAGGGGTCTTCAAACTTGACAGTTTCAAGACTTGTGGACTTCAAGTCCCAGAATTCCTCCTCCAATCATGTTAGCTCAGGAATTCTGGGAGTTGAAGTCCCACAAGTCTTAAAACTGTCAAGTTTGAAGACCCCTGATGTTTATTATCGGAATGGTGATTGTTCCACTACCCTATGACTTCAAACTGATATCTCCACAATAATAAAAACAGAACCCACAAGAGAAAACAAAGTTATCTGCAATACAAAAAAACCTGTTCTGATCTCTGATGCTATTATTGCTTTTCTATCTGCTCTCTCCTCTCCTCCTTCAGGCTTCTGTGGGAGAAAGGGTAATACTCCATTTTGGTAATAGAACATCTACATCAGTGACGAGCTACCTGCATTAACATAAGGCTCCTCAGTCTTGTTTCTGTATTTTAGAGCATTTTTTCAGATTATACCACTGAAGTTCAGTGTCAACGCTATTTATTTTGGAATATATGATCCTCCTACCCACTTTTTCACAAGATTAAGAGGATAAGTTAACGGTTCTGTAATCTTTAAACATCACTCCCCCTCCCCTTTTGTTCAATCTTGATTCTTGAAGACCCAGACAAGTCCCTGCAGGATTTTTTGGCATTTTTTTTTCAGAGGAGTGATGGTTTGCCATTGCCTTCTTTCTAGGGCTGAGACATAGTGAATAGACCAAGGTACCCAGCGAACTTCATGCCTAAGGCAAGGCTAGAACGCACACTCTCCTGATTTCTAGCTTGATGCCTTAACTACTACACCAAACTGGCTCTCTTAGTGTCACTCGTTTGTCCTTAACATCCCATTAAAATGCAAACGTCTTGATATTTTAGCATCCAACTTGGGGCAATAAATAAATGTAGGGGGGAAAAAAGTAAGGAAGTGTAGCTCCTGGCTGCAAAAACATTGCCGATCTTTGGTCAACATCAGAGCTGCGCTCAAGAAGCTCTTGGTCTTAGATACAGATATCCCAAGCAGCTTCCACTGGAAAGCAATATTAAAAAGGACTCATAATCAAGTCCAACTTCCCCAAAGTAAATTTCTAAATACCTGGGATTCACAGATAAAATGAGCATAGGTAATATGAAAAATCAATTCTGAGAAATATGCAGGAATAGGTTATTCTGACTTGAAATAGCTTCACTTTACAAGCCTTATGAATGGGGCTTCAAATAGGTTCACAAGTTATTGTGACCTACAAGTATTATATAATTGCAATCAAACCACTTGTTACCATCTGTAAACAACAAGCTCAGAGAACACCAAGGACTCTGCCCTCAGTTCAATCCAGAGTTGCAAATATTTTCTTGTACTGGAGCATTACATTTATTTAATACAGAGATTATTTTGTGGTTAATCTAGATTGCGAATATTACTTGCTAAATCTGACAGGAGCATGATGGAACAGTCCTTACCTTCAAATGAGACAGACAATTCTGTAGGAAGATATGCCAGTTATTTAAAAAAAACTGCTTCTGACTGACACACAACAAACAGGTGATCAATGGATACAAAGCCTGTGAGAGAGGAACAATTTGTTACAAGTTTCAGAAAAACAAAATATAGCGTGGCTAGGCTATTAAGCATGCAAACTCAGCCACTGTAAATTTGTAAAAAATGATTAATGGACCAGTGAGCTGTATATTTTTAACAAACTGTGATGCATTCAATAAAGTATGGTTAAACGAATCACAGTTTGGCAAATATTTGCCGGTATCTATTATTGCATTCTTACATTAGCCAGAATCCTGATACATAAATAAATCTAAACTATAATAGCAATAGCACTTAGACTTATATACCACTTCATAGTACTTTACAGCCATCTCTAAGTGGTTTACAGATGCTCAGCAAACAGCTCCACCCAGGACCATTTTTAAACCAATATGGGAGAACAGCTTTTTTTCTTTAAACAAAACATAGGTTTAGCACCTGAAAAAAGTTTTCTAAACATCAGTTTACACAACTGAAAAAGCTTCCTTCAATTGCTACACATATAAATAGATAACCAGTCCATAATATAAAACAATTTGATTACCATTGGATTAAAAGAACTTCAATTAAAAATATCCTATCAAGAAAAAAGCTTGTAGTTCTCTGTCAAATTCTGATTCCAGATATTTGCTATGTGACATACAATCAGATTGCATGCACAGATTGCTGTATCACTAGACAAAAATTAAACAACTTAAAATACCAATGAATGCTTCTTTCTTGAGCTCAGCTCAAAAGTTGTCTGATAGAGCATCTCCACAAAATTTTTCAGGCATGGCACATTCACTTCATTTTTAACAGCCTAGAATCAAAAGAAACAGATCTACACTATATCTTCAAGGATAAAGTTAGTAACACAGAAAATGATATAAAGCATGAGAGTCATGTAATACTTTCTCATAGATTTAAATCCTGCTGTTAAAAATAATTCAGTTATACAACAAAACACTTAGTCCAAGTGCAAACACTTTAAAGATTTAGCTTGAATACTGCATAAAAGTCCTACTATAAATAGCAAAAAATAAAACAAATAACAGTGAAACAGAAAGAACAGCTGTACATTTATTTTAATTCAACTGCTCTGCTAACAATGGGGAAAAAGTTTTACATTGAATTGTCAGAAGGTGAATTTTGGTTTTAATTTTATAAATACACACCATAAAGGATTTTTTTTAAATAAAAAATTATATATTTGGTTGTAAAAAGAATTAAACTTCATTCATCATTATTTGTATGACAAATACACTCAAATACAAAAAAGTTGGTTTTTCAGATCTGTGAACTGCATTTGAGGAGAAAATGTCTCTACTTTTGCATGAACACCATATTTGCGAAATAATAAATTATACTTACAGCAGCAACAGGGATGAGAATTTCTACAAACAAACCAGCAAGCGAATGCTTTATGTCTTTATCTTTCACCTCCAAAAAATACTGTGCACATTCCTGCAAGAAAATAACTATCAAATTTCTGTTGTGCACCATCTTCTTCAGTAAGAATAAATGAAAATAACAGAAAACAAAACCTATTGCAGATAAAGTACTAGATACAGGCAACAAAATAGTCCAGTTTAAACTGGAATGAATTTGGAAACCTTAAATTAGCAGCTCTTCAATGTTTTTATTCTATAAATAAGCTGAAGCTGATTTTGATCTGAACATTTTTTTCCTATGCAAAATTCCAAGTTTTGGAAAACATTACACCACTTTTGCTAATATTTGTGATAAATCAAATGATGACAGTGTTCAACTATTTGTGATATGCAGTTACACATATTAAGGCATTTTTCCCGAATATTTAAGACCACTGCAAAATTGATATTTTGAAGCCACTGGAAAAAATCTTCAAAACAATGATTTGGTTAAAAAAAAACCTGTTCAGAATCGGTACTGATTATACTCCTGCAATGCCATATTCAAAAAAAAAATAAATCAGGAAAAAAAATCCTATATAGTTTCAGCATGCAGAATGTCATACATAGCCAAATGTTGGCTTCCAAAATTTTACCTAGAGATGTAATGCCTCAACTATCAAAGTAGTTAATTATGTGATAAGCAAGTCACTATACTTCAGCTTATTTGCTTTCCTTTCTGAAGATTAAGTAGTGGACCACAATGTTCTTCTGTTCTACGCTTATTTCAATTGTTGACAAAGAGAAAGATGTTGGGAAAATAGCTGAAGAAAGAAACTGTCTCTTTTTTGGAATATCATTGAAAAACCAAATTGTTGAAGCTTTCCAAGTGATGGCTTTCCATCACTATTTCTGCTCCTTATGATGTAATTCAAGAATTTATAGCCAATCTCTAGCTATGGATACATGCATTCAGGAAGTACTTCCCAGAACTTTCTTTGAATTTAGATTTCTCCACAGAGTGTCTTTCTCCCTTACCCCCCTTTAATAATATGCCCGTCATTGCTTTTTTTGGGGGGGGGGGGATATTCATTAGTTACTATGCATAAATCATTAGATTACTAGTTGCAGTGGGTTAACATTCTTCACAGGAAATAAACATGTAAAACACCACATAATCTGAATTTTCTTTCAGATATATTGGGATTAGAATTCAAGAATTCCTAGACAACAGCTTTGTGCTGATAATCAGATAAGGGAAAGTTATTTTTCCAATTTAGGTATAATCTGCCGATATTCTTTTAACTTTTTAAATGAAGAAACTTCAACTATCTAAGATTATCTAACAGTTAGGTAATCCTAACTATTAATATGATAAAATACCATACCTGCATGAATTGAAATGATGCTTCAAAATCTTCCACAGGATACATTTTTACTCTGAAAAACTTCATCCCCATAATTAAGCTGATGATACTTTGTACCACATGAGGGCTCTGTTCCTTTTGCCTCAGTTCCTTTAATTCTGTAACAAATTTTTTTCTAACAGCTTGAAACCTAAAGTCAAAAAATAGCAAGGTTTTCAAAAAGAAAGGATAAAACGATATCCTCTATAAAGTAAAATAATTTCCCTCATTTTAAAAATATAGTTACAACCATACAAACAATACTGGGTCATATTAGATCACATTAGGATGTATGATAAAGTCAATCTGACTTTTAACAGTGACATCATCAAAAACCATTCTTGTGTGTTTTTGAGATAGGAAAGAAAAAAAAACATTTTAAAATAAAATACTCAGTGAATGCACTCATTAAGAGAGATGCTTACAAAACAATTTATCACTGTGACAGTTGATTAGTGGATATTAATTTGTTATGCTAAAGTATTTCTTATGCTAAAACAACACATTATCTGTGATCATTAGGCATTTACAGTTATATGTAAATTTGTGGCAAATAAGATATTTTTGAATCTTGAAAAAGAAGTTGCTTACTTTGATTGGGCAAGAACACCTATCACTTCTGCATATAAATCTGCGATGATATGGACATTTCCAGTGTTGGTCCCTGAATACCTACAATGAAAAGAAAATGAACAAAAGAAAAACCACAAATTTGATATTCGGATACAATTAACACAATGCTGCACATACAGGCAGTCCTCAACTTACAACTACAACTGGGACCTGAGTTTCCATTGAAGCTTGTTGTGGTTGTGTATTTTGAATCAGATTTGATTTTACAATTTTTAAACAAATAATGTGGTCATTAAGCAAATCCAGCTTCCCTCATAACTACTTTTTATATTGCCTTTTAACTCACAATGGTGCAAAAATCCCGGTTGTACTAATACGTGCAAAGTTGGAATAGGATCCAATCTGAGTCAGTCATTGGGACTAGAGATTTAATCTTCCAAGCTTTCAGATTCTTGCTGGAGCCCCTCCTGAGGGAACTTCTCTATGGTGTTTAAATAGCACAATCTTCTAGTAGCTCTACTTTGTAGCAGGTAATTCAACAATGACTTCCAGAAGTGTTACAAACTTTTGCACTATTCCTGTAGCAACAGCCCCAAGAATCATGTAATCATTATAGAGGAAATTTCCCACATTTGAAACCATCTAGGCAGAACTGTTGCTAATGTTGACTCTTAATTTTACTGTATCCATCCATTCAGGGGTATTTATTAATTATAGTAACATTTTAGATATTCTTAAATCAGCAGTTCAATACTAATTATGCTATTATTTTGCGATATAGGATTGGAAGGGATGCTTGCATGTTCTTTCTCATAGGATCCAGGTCTTTGCAGGCCTCAATTTTATACAAATTTCTTTAGGAATAAATTTAGACAAAGTCAATGGAATGGGTATCTGTTAAATTATGAGATGTTGTTTAGCAAAAAATGTAAATAGTTAACAAGTTGAACTCAAAAACATCTGCATTAGTGCAACTTCTCTGAGATATTGGAATAATTAGTACTAACTCATAAGTCAGAAATATTTAAAAATTTGGCATCCTAAATATACTTACCCTTCCTTGTGTTTAAAGTGCTTGAAAGCCAAATTTAGAACTTCATGAACTAAAGGGTCAGGCACTGGATGAACAGGTATCTATAACAGAGAGGGCATGTACTGCTTATCTTCATGGCTTAGACATTTTATCAGAATGTGAATTGTCACTGTTATTGGATAAACATGGGCAGATATATACAGAAGGGCATATTTTTATTTGGGATCTGAATAAATTAAATGACATTCTGAACTCTTTTTCCCCACAGAAATATTGATTTCATTTTAATAGAACTATATTTTACAGTGCACAATGTAAGAAAAAAAACCACTAGCTGTCTACTCCAGTTTTATATTGCATTTCTAAGCAAAATACAAAGACATTCAGCTGTTTTTGTAATTAAAAAATAGTTTATATCTAGCAGAAATTAAAGAGCTTACCTGTTTTAGAACTTCTACTAAAACTAAGCAAAAAATAAAATCTACCGCTAAATCCCTTCGTTCAAGTAGATAATCTCTCTCTCGCTGCTGCTCATCTCTGAAACAAATAAAATATATCAGATATATTTGATATAAGACAAGCTCCTTTCTCAAAACAGAAATACATGTAACTTTTTATGTATATGCACAGAGTCAAGAAAGTTACACAAAATCTTTCTACACCAATGCCCATCTTCATCCTGAAATTCCACACTGCCCTTACAATCTGACAGCAGCAAAAAGGAAAAAAACAGGGGGGGGAAATCTACTAGGAAATTAAGTTCAGAGAAATACCCAATTGATTATTAAGGTTCAAAGCAAAAGTCAGGAACTGCTACTATATTTAACTGAGCAAAGAATTACTGCTAATTGTTTCTGAGCTTAAAGTGGCTTACATTTTCCTTCTGTAGCTATAATCAATCAACTCTTAATCAATCATTTGACTATAATTTTGTTCATTCATACTTTGCGAGATAACTATAATTTACTTAGTTTATTTTATAACAATTCATATAATCCTCCCAAATCTATCCTAGAAACATTTTATAGATATAATAATAAAAAAATAAAAGAAATACATCCTTATATATTCATTGTTTTCTAAAATTCTACATATTTTAATATTATATTTTATTATCTAACCATTGATAGAAAAGGTCCCAACTTTTGTAAAATTGTTTATCCTCTTGTTCTCCAATTTCAAATGTCAATCTACTCATTTCAGCACATTCCAATATTTTCTTAATGGTTTCCTCCTGCGATGGTATTTTCTCATTTTTCCAATTTTTAGCAAATACAATCCTAGCCGCTGTTAATACATTTACAATCAAATAGGCTAGAACAGTCTGGTCTTGCGTTGTTAACCTCATTCATCATAATATCACTTTTATTAATTCCATTCAACTGTATTTCAATATTTGACTCCCATATGAATTATCTGTTATTTATCCAGTTGTGAAGCTGAAGACTAATCTATATGAGACCATGCTCTGGGGTTGAGTTTAGAGTTGACAGTTGACAAACCTAATATGTTTAGACCATGTTAAAGTTGACATTTATAAAATGTTGAATTATTCAAGGAATATGTAATTAGAGGATGCAATTACCCACAGGTGTTTATCACTGTAGTGCACTCACCCCTTAGACTTTGTGCTGGACCGAGGCCTGTATTCATAAGATTCATCTTCAGTTCCATTTTGGCGTTTGTACCAGTCAAACAAGGTGCGTAATAAGGAGGGGAGACAGTGCTCTGCTACTGAGCTCATAGAGCTTATCAACTGTCAAGAGAAAATATTAAGGGTTTACACAGTATCTTTTCCAGAACCTTCTCTTGTAGATATTTTGTGGGTGGGTGTAGGGCAGCTATAACACCATGGCATCATCTGTCATTTTTATGTTGTAGCAAAAATCTCAACATGTATTTATTCAAACTTCAACACCAAACTTTGCACTAAATTATACTAGATCTGTATTCTCAAACTCTGCACTGTGGTTCTTAACAGATAAATGAATTTTTATGACATATCCCATGATTTTTAAAAAATAAACTTTTCTTTTTTTAACAGCAACTCATTTCTTATTCCACATTTCTTTTTGATTGGTGTAGCAGCAACTGTAGAAAAATGTGATTCACACACTATGGTGCTTCCCCCAACGGAAACATTTCCATTCTGAAAGTTGTGACATTTAAAATAGTGAACCATGCTGACTTTACAATCCTGTAACCTTCTACAGATATTCTCAATACTACTGCTATACTACTGTAGCAACTTGTGCGGGTGCCAGAGACATAAAAATATGTCTCAGAAAAGCAATAATTTATACGTCTTATAAACTATATAAACTAATTTATAATGTAGAATTCTTTACATGTGATTTAAAGAACGCTTGTATTTTAAGCAAGAAAAGAAAACGTGGAAAAATATCAAGTAATTATAGGAACACATAAAAGTCTGAGTTTCATTACTCATACCTGAGGCAATTTTTAAAAAACTGTGGCCTCTTTCATGAATTCTAATGATCTCCCAGCAGGATCGCAATCCACAATTTGACAACTTCTAAATTATAGGTTGACATATTTTTCTATTGGAACATTTAGGCAGTGATAGAATCCCAGTGGTATAAAAAACAGATTTGATATAAGAAGATATAAGAAAGTTTCTCTACTCTTCATCATTTTCTCCAATAAACAAATGAATCAGTAAAAGGTTTTTGACTTGTGTTTAATTAGGTTCTCTTTATCTAGTTATAGGACTTGTGTGGAGAACAGATCACATTTTAGGTAATACTTGTGCAAAAATACTGAACATTCAAAAAGGCCCACAAACATTTAAGCACTACTATATCTTCTTTAATGCAACTAAAAACTTCTAAACTAAGTAAAAACTCTAAAATATTTCAAATATAAAACATCACAGAAATCTGATTTTAACCAACTTGTGCAACAAAATCTGTCAATCAACTTACAGTCCCTAGGAAATATACATAGTGGATTTCTATGACCTCTGCTATTTAAACACCCTATCAAATACAGGGTTTTAAGTTTTGAAAAGAAATTTTACCAACCTGATCAAACTGAAAATCTTCACCTCTCTGAAGAGATCTAGACAGGGGTTTTTCCTAAAATAGGAATAAGGCACTGAATTACATATAGTACAGTATTATACATGTACCCAATATAAAATAATTCAAACTGATTTCTTTTCTTCTATATTTAATTTTTGAAACATAAATCTATGTTATATTGAATGCATTTATTACAAACTACATAAATCTTTAAGGGTGTTGCTAAGAATGTTTATATATAGACCCATCTTATTTTACAAGTTAAGAAAATATATAATAACATCAAATTTCAACAAAAAAGTCAAGTACATAGTATAACGGAATATTTAATAAAAATAAATGATTAAATTGATTTAGCTAATCCAAGAATACAAATAAATTTCATAACAAATGAATACAATTGTAATGCAACAGTCCTGATCAGATTAAAAAATTATATTATGATTCACTAGAAAATCAGAACTGGAAACTAGGGTTGGAAACGTTAAAATTAGCATGTACATATGTAAGGAAAATTGTATACTGCCACTATGAAACACCAAATAGCTCTTTTTAGACTTCATGCCTTTTTTCACAAATAGTAAGAAAATTCTTGCTGAAGCAAAAAATTGAACTTCAACTAATTTTTAGAACTGATCCAACAAGATATACTGTATTAATGTTATATTCAATAACATATTCAATGTTACTAAAAGCTTCTGAGAGCCTATAAGAAACAATTATTAACAATGTATTTCTATTAAAATAGTCTTGACTGCCAACATTTAAATCTAGTTAATTCATGTCAGCTAAAAGTATCTGGATTTAAAGTATCGTCCCTTCCTCTAATACTTTACTAAATGAGATTAAGAATATCTAGCTGGAGGTTATTAACTCTCCTTGTTCCAAGAATTATTTTAGGATGATAAAGATAATTTCTCTTTAAAAATCCTGTAATAGTCAATAATCAAGACAGGCAAAAATGAGGAAATGGTAGTTCTGGTGGTATGTCTGAAATACTCTAGCTTATATTCTATGTTTAAAGGTACTTTTTCATTTGTAAGGCTTCTTCTAGATGTTACAAAACTGTTTTATTTAGAAAAACTCTTTCCCCCAATATAATAGGAGCAGATATTAAACTAATCACACACACACACAAACATTCTATAGGCTCTCTCCAATATTCTTTTTTTTAAATTGTGCTACATTGCCCATAACCAAGGCCTCAAATATAGGCAGGGATCTGAGAAGACAAATGATTTATTATTAAGAAATAAGACATTCCAAGTTGAACTGGAAATGTTTAGACAGATTTATGCTTTGTTAAACTGCAGTTCAGGACTACATTTTGAATCTGACCAAATCAATTGGTCAGACTGAATAATGAAAACTATGTGATTTGAATGATTTGACCATTATGTTTGACCATTCAATGGCTGATTTGCATGTGTATGGGCAAAAGGCCCCCTTTTTTTGATTCAACTGACATCAATATTGTTTTGGACCCTTTTGGCACACTGCCCTTTGGAAAAGTCGTATTCCAGGTACTTTTTAAATCATTATTTTATAATTAACTTTTAAAACAGGCAGTTTAGTGTGGTCAAACTCAAATCCTATGTTTCTTTTATAATCTACCCAACTATCCAAGCATTCCTCTTCCAATAGACAAAATCCTTGCCTTGACTTTAATACATTTTCAATTTCATTGTACACATGTTGTGCATTGACAGTAAATGTTGATTTTATTTAATAGCTCATGTTTTTTTCCTCCAAAGTAGAAGATCTTGCATGGTAAGCAAACAGGCAGTGTTGATTCCTTTCAATCTTCTTTTATACACCCGTTTACTCATTTGTAATTCATTCTTCTGAATTGAATGTAATGACAAATATTAATTGTGATATAATATGGAGTGAAATAATCAATCCAGCACCATGGTGAGCATTTCAAAGGTTGGAGAAGTGAGGTAAAGAGCTACAACACATGCAAATCTGACTTCTTTATGAGTCGAATTCTAGGCTGCTATCATCACTTGGGGCTCACTGCAGGAAATTGTTGTGGTGCCCCCACACTGTGAATATAATTCAGGAACAATTAGTTAATATACTTTCTTAAAAGATTGTTGCTGTCCTGGTGTCTCCTTCAGTATTCTTTGGTATCAGTCCTTCCAATTCTAAATTGAGTATCAATGCACAAATTAGAGGCAAGAACACTTAAGAACAAAATCAGTTTCATGTGTATCTTGTGCAACTTTAAAAATATTTAATTACATTACTTAACATTAAATAATAAGGGACAAATTTGAAATTCATCATAGCCATTAATATCTTAGCATTTTATTCTTACTGTTTCATACCATTAAGCTTTGATTTGTGCCTTGATTATCTTAGTTGATATGATTCAATTATCAAAATGTTTTTTCTTCTTATCCCCTATTTATTTTAGAAAAAGCTTTAGACTTTTTCATCTAAGTTTGAAAATTATTTCTATGAAGATAAAAATTGTAAGCTATGTAATACCCAGTAATATCAGGTTCCACTGCCTGAAAAAAAAAATTGAAAACCCCTGATCTAGACAACATTGTTGTGTGAAGGTAAACAAATGAACAAATAAAAAAAAATCTTTACAGGTATAAAATTGAGTAGAAAGCTTCAAAAGCAAACCAGAACTAGAAGATGTATCAGCAAGCATCTTATTTATTTATTTATTTGATTTGTCAATAGCTTACAAGATAATAGGTATAAGTATATACATAGTTATGAATACATGAAATGGGTACATATAAGAAAAATAAAAGAAACAATAGGACAGGGACGGTAGGCACGTTGGTGCGCTTATGCATGCCCCCTACAGACCTCTTAGGAAAGGGGTGAGGTCAATAGTAGACAGTCTAAGGTTAAAGTTTTTGGGGTTTGGGGAAGAAACCACAGAGTCAGGTAGAGTATTCCAGACATTGACCATTCTGTTGCTGAAGTCGTATTTCCTGCAATCAAGTTTGGTGCGGTTAACCTTGAGTTTGTATCTATTGTGTGCTCTTGTGTTGTTATGGTTGAAGCTGAAGTATTCATTGACAGGTTAGTCATTGCAATGTATGATTTTATATACCATACTTAGATCAGACTGAAGACAGTGTAATTCAAGGTTTTCTAGGTCTAGAATTTCAAGTCTGGTGGCATAAAGTATTCTACAATGAGTAGAGGAGTGGAGGTCTCTGTTGTCTTCATTAATAGTTTCTGTTTCTTATCCTGAAACTCTCTCCCTCCTTAATCAATTGAGTAGGATTCCTCTAATATTTCCTTTTCTTTGTTGATAAACACTGGCTGCTATTTCTGCTTCTTTCTCCTTCCCAGTGCACTTCCTTTTCTGACTGTTCTCCCCCATTGAAAAAAAGTAAAAATAAAATAAAGAAGGACAAGTGGAGGCAGTACTCAAAGGTTATGTAAAATAAAGAAACCCTTGAGTTGAACTTGACTCCTAGTAATTATATGAGCATGTTCATGTAATTTCGTTGGCAACCACAAAAACAGAAACAGCCAATTACCAATGAAATGAAATAAAAGAGAAGGGAACCTCAAGGAAATGCAGCAGTCAATCAACTATGGTTATTTTATAAACTTTATTGGCAGTATGTTTTCTATTTTGCATGTGTGTGTGTGTGTGTGTATGTATGTGTGTGTGTGTGTGTGTGTATATATATATATATATATAAAATACACACACACAATATGCTCAAATTTTCCTAAAATAAAGGAAATTTTAATCAAATACAAAATAAGTCTGCACTTGGCTAATACAGTTTTATTTTAAAGTTTTACAACTTGTAAAACTAAGTACTTCCTTTGCTATACTAAGTATTGACATGTTAACATCCTTGCAACTCTGATCTTACAAGCAATTAGCTACCTGGAATGAGAAAGGAAAGGAGAGGAAATTTATCATTTCCTAGTGCTTCATTGCCTATTACAGCTTTTCACTGTTCTTTTTTCAAAGTAAGGTTAAATAATTTAAGAAAAACATAAATTGAAAGAAGGCTGCATAACAGAACTCACCAACGGTTCAGCCATTACAACTTCAATTTTCTTTTCAGCTTGAATAGCAAACTCAGTAAAGAGGCTCTTGATGACATATTCACCAGGTTTGACATCTGGATCAATAGTAATATTAGACATGATGACGCTTCCCTTTTCCCAAGTAGAATTGATGGTGGGAGAAATTCTGTGCTTAGTAATGCTTCTGGCTTGTGCTGATGCTGGAGGAAGAGAAAGATGGATTATTAATAATGAAGTAAATCAAAAGAATCAGCATTTCTTACAAACAACAAAATATTTTAGAAGGCTAGAATTTAAGGAAGGCCTCTAGGAGAGAAGAAAGTTCTCAGTTGGTTTCCAATTGAAGCAGAAGAAAAATGTATATAATGAAGGATAAGCATCACTGACAGATATTGGGGCCATGTGAAACTAAACCAAAGATATCATGGATAAACGTAGGCAGTTTGTGCTCTCTTTACAGTACTTATTGTGCTATCAGTAAAAACAGAAAAGCAATTAAAATCTATCAAGGATATGTTGGAGATTATCTAACTATACTTCTTGCTCTACCGTTGCGGTGATCCATCATTGGAGGTTTTTAAGAAGAGATTGGACAGTCATTTGTCCAGAATGGTATAGGGCAGGGGTGTCAAACTGGTGGCCTACAGGCCAGATGCATCACAGGCAGGCCATGCCCACCTCAGCTCCGCAAATGGTGAAAATGTTGCAAAAAGCCACGTGATGGCAATGTGATGCAGCAAGTTTGACACCTGTGGTATAGGGTCTCCTGGTTGAGCAGGAGGTTGGACCAGATGTGTCCAAAATCCCTTCCACAATTCTGTTATTCTGTAACTAATAATTTTTTCCCCTTTGGGAAATGATAGCCAAAGAAACAAAGTAAGTCATTATGTCTCGGTAATTTTTTTAAATTTATTTGGCTTATATCCGCTGCAATCAACCACCAGTGCTACAGAATATAACAAAAATGGTAAAGCACACACAGCATAGCTAGAAGATGCCACAAAACAGGGGTCCCAAAACCTCTGGGCCATGGATGGGTACCAGGGTGGGTGGCCTGTTGAGAATTGAGCCGCACAAGCAGTGGGTGAGCAAACGAAGCTTTATCTCTGCATTCATTGGATTTATATTATGTGTGAAACCATCCCCCCTCACCCCTTGGTCCATGGAAAAATTGTCTTCTACAAAACTGGTCCCTGGTGCCAGAAAGGTTGGGGACCACTGCCATAAAACTCTGAAAATTAAAAATAACAAATGAGAAGACAAAAATAAAGGAATAAATACAGTAGAGTTCTTAAGATAATCCTTTCTGAAATAGCTCCATTTCATCATCTTTCTGAAAATCAATGAATAAGTCAACCTTCCTTTGTGGGAGGAGGGATTCAAAGCATCAGCACCAAATCAGAAAAGCTGCACTTTCAATTTCATTTCCACCATACATCTTCAAAGTGTGTGTGTGTGTGGGGGGGGGGATTGCTTCCCAGATAATCCACTGTGTCTGTTTAATTCCAGTTGGAGCAGCCAAACTTACAGGTACCAGGTGTCTAGTCAAGAAGGTTTTACAGGTGAACCTTAAATTGGAAGCCAATTGCAGGCCCTTCAAAATTAATATTATATTTTGCCAGCCCCAACAGCCCAGATACTAGCCAAACAGCCACCAGGTTCCCAGAATTGAGTGATTCAACTTTGGCAAATTCTCCAGTACAACAAATCAAAGGGATAAGTAAACTTATTTCTGTTTATTAAATGCAGAGACCACCCATCTCACTCTCAGCAACAATTGATGGCAGGTTGAAAAACTGAAAGGGGTCAGTCTTTTGCTGATCTGCATAATTTCCCTCTCTGAGTGAGTTAGTCCTCCTTCTCCAGAAGCAAACTCCAAAAGCCCAAAATATCTGTCCTCGTGAACCGTATACCAAACCAAAACACTGCTGCCTGGTCAACATCCAATATCTTTTATTCAAAAAGGACAAAACAATGAAACAAAAACAAAACAACAATCGACGAGAAGCCTGAGAAACAGTTCCACCCATAAAAGCCATTAATAGATAAGAGACAGTAAAGGAAATCTAAATCTTGAGAAAGAGGCAAGTTGAAGAGATTCAAAATATTGTACATGCACATACTCACACACCCTCGATCCTGCATGACATAAAAGAACACAGAGGGAAACGCTGGCAGGTTGTGAACATTTTGTTATTATAGCCCTATCAAGATTCTATTACATCCTATTCTGCCTTCTTATAAAACAAAGTTCCAAAAACTATTCCTACTGTGAGTCAGCATTTTGCATTGGATTTTGCAGGTGAAAATCCTAAGGCCACAAAAAAAGGGGCCAGGGACAGCAGTCAACCCATCCTTTTCTCATATCCAGGATGGTGGTGAAATGCTTTCCTTACTGTGATTCTTCTGTCTTGATCCAAACAATCTAAAGAAAATTCAGATTGTATTGGGGCAGAAAATCTGGATGTGTAATTTTTCTATCTCTGATAGAACAGATAAGTGACAACTGATAAGTGAAGTAACAGAAACGATGGATCCACTCATTCAAACTGAAAAACCCTAACCCTAACCCTAAAAGAAAAAAAAATGTTTTCAAATAGAACAAGCTAAAAAAAATTTCAACTCCTTTTGCACAAAACTTTCAAGATGCTGTTCCATAGGCCAACATAGGCATTATTCAATATATATTTGATGAGAACCAAGAAGCAGAGATGAATAAGGAGACTCTGCCAACCCAGATAAAAATGGCAACTACTGCAATAACTGATGACTACAAATCACCATTGGTAGCAAATTGCTGAATTAGACATGACTTTTCAATATAAATTGTGCCTGAAATTGTTTTGCTGTCAAAATACCGACAAGGTGCTGCTCTGCCCACATTGCTTTGCAAGTAATTGTGGCAGATCTGTACTGAATTTTTTTTTAAGAACAGAGAAGACTTAATAACTGCACACTGAAGTTAGTTCAAACAAACAGGCTCATATAAATAATTTCTGCATCAATAAAACTTAAGAAACATTTCTGATGTTCACCTCCAATGTAATTACTTAATGAGGATGTTTTAAAAGATTAACAGAGTTGGAAGGGACCTTGTAGGTCATCTAGTCCAACCCCGCCCCTGCCCAAACAGGAGACCCTACACCATTTCTGACAAATGGCAGTCCAATCTCTTCTTGAAAACCTCCAGTGATGAAGCTCCCACAATCTCCAAAGGCAACCTGTTCCATTGGATGATTGTTCTCACCGTCAGAAAAGTTCTCCTTATTTCCAGGTTGAATCTCTCCTTGATCAGTTTTCATCCATTATTCCTTGTATAGCCTTCAGGTGCCTTGGAAAATAGCTTGACCCCCTTCCTCCTCTCTGTGGCAGCCCCTCAAATATTGGAAGACTGCTATCTTGTCTCCCCTGGTCCTTCTCTTCACTAGACCAGCCATGCCCAGTTCCTGTAACCATTATTCATATGTTTTAGTCTCCAGGCTCATCATCCTGGTTGCTCTTCTCTGTACTTTTTCTAGAGTCTCAACATCACAAATGGTATTCAGCAGGTTCTGACCAGTTCGGGAGAACCGGTAGTGGAAATTTTGAGTAGTTCGGAGAACTGGCAAATACCACCTCTGACTGGAGATTTTACAGTATCCTTCCTCTGCCACGCCCACCAAGCCATGCCCACAGAACTGGTAATAAACAAATTTGAATCCCACCACTGCTCAACATCTTTTTTATAGTGTGGTAACCAAAATTGGATGCAGTACTCTAGGTGTGGCCTTACTAAGGCTTTAGAGAGAGGTATTAGTGCCTCACTTAATCGTGATTGTATCCCTCTGTTAATGCAACATAGGAGTGCATTTGCTTTTTGGGGCTGCCATTGCACACTGCTGGCTCATATTTATCTAGCTTTCCACTAAGACTCCAAGATCTCTATCATAGTTACTGCTCTTAAGCCTGGTTTCACCCAGAATATATGTCTTTCATATATGCCCATGCTTCAAATCTTTAAAATGAAATGCAGAAAGTCTTTTTCAATCATAAAATCAGTAACTTTCAAAAACACATAGGTGAGAGACCTGGTTTTGCTAGAGGCAACAAACCTGGACACATGATGCTTCACCAGACCCTCTACAGTCCAAGGAGCAAGTGCTTTTACCACTTCTACTCGGCCTTTCTAGCTGGCCGCTTTGCCTCCTTCGGGCTAGGTGGGTCTGCCAAGTGGTGGCGGAGTTGCCACCCAGGAGCTGCCAGGAATAGAGACCCCCGGGGATGTGCCTCCTTCACCGGGGACACTCTGCAAGGAAAGCCGAGCCTCGTCCTGCCCTGCGAGGCAGCAACTCCAGAGCGTTTTTGGGATGCTGCCTGACTGACGTAGCTCCTTCAAACGGAGCCCCCAAGGCTGCAGTCCCTTCCCTGGACTGAAGGCAGCCTTGTGTCTGACAGCCCCTCCCCTGTATTTCCGTTCCAAGCTGAGGATTGCAGCCAAATTCCCCGTTCGGCGCGGCTCAGGGATAGTGGAGCTACCCTCTGCACGAGCAGGTGAGTTGGCAGGGCGCTAACCAAACCGGTGCCGGGCGCTCAAAGGCCCTCTTCCTCCAACCTTGAGATGGGCACTGCTTCCTACCCTGCCCTGTGTCATGCATCAGGGAAGCCCAGCTGGGCACCACGTGTTGGGTCTGATAGAAGATGGGAAAAATGCCGTGCTCTCCCCCGCTTCCTGCAGGGGCTGCTGGCGGAGCACCCGTTTCATGTGCCTGCTGCTGCAGTCGGGTGCGTGAGGGGAACACACTCCACGCACAGGCCAAGTGAGGGGGCTGAGAAGAAGATGACCAGCAGTGACTTGTTCTCCAACTGCAAGCCAAAAACAGACAGTGGAATAGAGTAAGGGTGTCCAGTGGTCCACATCACATTCCCTTCTATTGCCTCTGCTTGGACGGCCAGTCTGGTGCTGGCAGCGGGCTGTGGAGTAATAGTGTGCACCAGCTGAGGGGCCAGCAGGCTGCGACTACAGCTGGAAACTATCCTTCCCTTCCCCCGCACACAAAGGACGGCAAGCGACGGGTTTTTGGCTGTAGCTGCCCTGCCCACTGCCTCACCTCACCTCATCCTGCGGGATGGGCCTCCCATCTCCCACCCCACCCATCAGAACCTCCTGGATTTCCTCTCCAATCCCACCCAAACCCACAGGCACCACCCATGTGAGCTATGT